ACAGTCATGACATAGTCGTGACACCCCCCTCGCGGGGCTGAGGGCAGCGGGGAGGCGCCCGTCGCGCCAGGGTGAGTGTTCGTGGATGGGGACGCGCACACACGGGCCGCCCGCGGGCTGAGGGCGGCGGGAGCGCGCGCGGACGGGGGGGGCGGGGGGTCACACGGGAGCCGTGAGGGGAGCGGCGCTGTGCGCATGCGCCGCCGGGGGCCGTTAGGCGCTCCCGTTCCCGCCGCCGCTTCACCTGCGGGGCGCAGGTGAGGCGGGAGGGGCGGTGCGCATGCGCCGGGCATGAGGGAGGGCGAGGGGGGGGCGGTCGGTTACCGCGCGCGAGTAATTAGCGAGCCCACCCTAATTACAGCACTCAGGTGAGCCGGGGGGTGTGAGGGATGCGCGGGGATGGCGCTCCGCTCGCGGGGGTCCTGCAGGGTCAAGAGCTGCCCCTCGGCACCGGGGCAGACCCCAGGGCCTTCCCGCCGGGCCCGTGTGCCCCACAGCAGCCGCAGGAGTCGGTCCCGGCTGTTACTGTGCCAAACCCCAGCTCCCGCTTGCCCAAACCTCCCTCTCGCCTTCAAAACACCAGTAGCTATTAACTGCAGCCTGTGGTTCCTTGATTGCACCCTGATGGGTGAGGGAGATGTGACGAGAAGAAACACTTCTGCAGGTGGCCGGGGGCAGCTGTGGGGCTCAGGGCATGGGGAGGGTCGGGGCTGCTGCTTCCCAGGCTGGCACAGCCTTGCCCAGCGGTGCCACCTCTCTCGGGAAGCTGCAGAGCCCCGTCTACAGCCCCCAAACCGCTGTGTAGGAGGGGACAGCGCTGCTGTGGTTTGGGTTTGGCAGCGGTAAAAGGAATTAGTGAGAGCAGCAGAAACGGGGAGAGGGGGAAGGGCACCAGCCCCTTTGGCTGTGTTGCTGTTTCCCAGGGACTTCAGGGATCCCTCTTGCCACCCTCAGATTTGTGTTCCTGCTCCAATCTCCTTTTCTAAATCCTTTAGTCCACGATCTCTTCTCTACCTGTGGTTTGTTTCCTTGCCTGCTGCAAATGCCCCCCTCCCCCCAGCAGTGTAAGGCACTTGATTTGAGGTTCTGCCAAAAAAATCTCTACAGTCTCCTGAAACTCAGCATTACACAGCAGAGTGCTTTATTTGCTCTGGATTACTGAGCATAAACCTCAGATTTGAGCTCCCTGTGCAGAGCAGGGATTGGGGCTTTCACAGGCAAAGTTCAGGATCAAGTTAAAAGGGCAGGGAAGGCTGGGGAAGCCCCAGGGTGGGATCAGAACAATATTTCCAG